AACATGCAGCAAGTGATGAATTAAACAGAGAATCGTGAGGAGTAAATGTATCAGAAGTGTAACAGATGTAAGCACTCAAGGATGTGTAGTTTCAGCCTTGACCTCCAGATGTACCACATTTATGCCCCCATAATCTCTCAAGCACAATCAAGGTAACTGGATGGCACATATCGCAAAGATAATCCTCCTAATCTTCCTTGCCTGGCTGAGTAAAACAGGGAAAGGAGAGAAATCAATATAAAGTTGCACTGTGAAAAAAATAACAGTTCCTTGAATCCACTTCGGATGGATTTGTACAACCAGGGAGTCAGACAGCTGCTACAGAACAAGTTCACTGGCTACTGTCATGACACTGCCTGAGGAAGGAATACTTCTCCTGCATCAAATGCCACTGCCACCTGCATTTGTACTTTGTTCTCCTTCATTCTTTGTTCAACAGCTATTCCAATGGACTTTCACAAGAATGGAAAAGTAGCCCTGCTACAGCTGCAAACTGCTCCTCCGCCTGGCACACGGGAACAACCTCAGCCAAAGCCTCCCAGAGTGGCAAGTGGTAGAGGTAGTGAAGGAGCTTCCCATGTGGAAAAACAATTATTGAGAGACCAAAAGCCTTGCTAAATGCACTGTCATAGACTCAATAGTTTGCAATCCAGCCATCATGCAGCCAAATGCTCAAGGGAACTTCGCTGGCAAAAAGGTTGCAGGAATCTTCTTCTACCATTTCTGCTGTTAAGGAATGGACCCATTTAAGGACAGTCTTACATCTTATTGAATGATACAGAAAAATGGAAGTAAGCCTATGGTTAAAGCAGTGATGTGTATCTCAGACTGAGGCAAGGAAGAGGTGGGCCTGTTTTAAGGTTACTAGGTGATAATCAAAAAGAATAGATGGATCTGATAAAAGGCATGTATGGGAGATTCATATTACCATGAATAAATTACAGACTTTAACCTGTTTCTAAGGCAATAGGATTTTTTTCTTCTTTTATTTTTATTCATTGCCCCCCTATAATTCCTTTTATCTTGGTTACCTGAAAAATTTTACATTCTTGCCTATTTCACAAGATTGAAAATACATACTGAGATAAAATAGATGAAAGAAGTTTTTTCCACACCATATCTTTTCAAAACTAAACTTTCTGAATTGCATTAGGATACAACAGACAATAGAGCTCTTGCATCATTAAGATTTTGTAGCTGGCATGAACAAATGCAGAATCAATCAGTGCTTTCTATCAGTTCATAAAAGGACATCACTGTCACTGGAGTTTAACAGAGGTGGGAGGGGAACTCAGAATAATTCAGTTCTCCCAAACTGCAATAGCAAAACTGTCATAATCTGTAGCAGATTCCTTGGTTTGGTCAGGAATTTTGTTAACAATTTTTTTTTTTGCTTAAACTCCCAATATGAAGTAGTTCCCAGTTTTATTGGTACCCACATTAGAGTATGACTCAAAATCGTGAATAAGGACCAGACCCAATGTACTCCACTCTCTCCACACTGCACTTCTCAAGACAAGGGCAGTGACAGCTGCAGGAATGTTTATACAATGCAAGTGTGCTGACACTGGAAGGGGTTTCAGCTTGTGCCCCTGGGCACACTTGCTTTTCCTGCAGTGGCAGCTGAACCACTGCTCCAGGATCAAAACAGCCCAAAGAGGATTCCTGGGTCCCACTGGAACACTCCTGCATGCCTAATCAGCCAACTTGACACACAAATGCAATCCTGTTGCTCTTGGCTTGATTTTGGTACTGCCTTCCTACAAGTTACTAACTTCTGAACTAGTTTTAGCAGCACAGAACAAGCAATCTTGGTAAAATGGAATATAGTAAAAAAGTAAAAAACAATTCATTTTTAAAAGAACAGAGTGAAAATTCCTCTTCTGTTTTGGGGAGCGTAGAGGCAACCTCTAATTTGGTCTCACCAGCCTTTGCCACCACCCTACCTGAGAGCAGCCGGCACTTGACTCCTGTCAAATGCAGGAGACAGCTGTGTGATTCCATGCAATGTCAGTAATATTCTATTAAAAAAAAAATAAATCTATCAATGGTACAGAAAAAAGCTTAAAAAAATTATCTGAATCCTGCTCCTTAGATATCCCCCAATGGCTCTGCTCTCTCTGTACATGTACAGAGCTATGATGTGTTACAAAAAGGTGATCTCAGTGGTACTGTGGAGTTGGAGCCTAGAAACTTAGCAGAGGTAAAGCTTGGATGGGAGTTGCTTTTAGCAGCCTTTCATTCAGAAGTACGAAGCACTGTAGATGTGTCCAAAGACAAACTATCCTTTTTTAGGTTTTCCTTTGGGGGTACATTTGGGCAAATACAAACACAAATGCAAATTAAAACTATACAAAGCAACTGAATAATTTTTTTTGCAGATTTTCAACCTCTTTATATTGAAAGGAAAATGAGACATCAATAACATTTTCTAAGTACTCAGTCTGAAAATGGTCATTCTCTCTCCATATGTAAAATCACTGTGAAACACATTTGTGCAGTGAAAGAATAATATCAGAAGAGCCCAGCCCTGCTCCCTCAGGCTGGAGGCTGGCATTCCAGCACAGCTCTCCTAATGTTGTTACACACATCCTTGACCAGTCTGTAGTATCTTCTGGCTTGGCTACGGTTTTCCTTCCCTATATGCAATCACTGCCCAAAAATTCTGTCCCGTGCCGTGAAGCACTTTACAGAGATCACTTGGAAAGAGATTTTTTTGACACCTAATTCCATTCTTTTGACAAAAATGAAATATAGCCTATTACAGTCATGCTTCATCTCCTGGTTAGGCAGAATCTAATACTTAAAACCCTCTGAAACTCAGATCTTTCAAAAGCTGCTGTTTTTAATCAATCTTAAAAAAAAAAGGTCCTTCGTAAATTCATCCATTCTGTTTATCTCCTACCACCACAAAAGAAGTAACTCCACAGTCACATAATCTGGATTTACTTTTAATGTGCCAGCATCTTTGCTGATATCCTGCTTCTTTACAAAATTTCATCAGGTTTTTGCTTCATATGAGTCTTTTCCATTCTGTTAAAATAGGACTGGAAGATCCACTTCTACTGCATTTGAACAACTCTCACTGGAATACAGCATGATGAAACATTGTAGAACTGTGTTCTTATTTACTTCAGTATCTAACATTTCTGCTGTGATGCGAAGGCACCAAATCACTTTAAAAAAACATATCTCTTTCAGAAAAGGTCAACATTTCTCACATTCACCACTGTTCTAATGGATGTCTGGCTTCATGGCCCTCTTAGTGAAATTTTCAACTTCGTTGTGTGCAGATAGCAAAGAAACTTCTCCTGGAGTCACTGTCAAAATGCTGAAGAGATAACATTTACTTTGTTCCACTCATTGGGTATTGCCTGAACTAGGAGCAGCACAAAAACATCCCTTTCCAAATGACACAGTCACCCTGTTCCTAGGTAGTACTGACTCCATGCAAAATGAAACCATTAACTTCTAATTTATTTATTCTGTCAAGCCTGGAGTAATCTGCCTATTAAGTAAAAAAAAAAAAAAAAAGAAACATATTTTCCAAGACAAAGAATCCGGCATGCTGCACTATTTCAAACAATCCAGACTACATCTGACAGAAATACCAGGGAGCTGTGACTGACACTTTTTGAATATGTCAAAAGCTCCTTGTTTACTCTTTGCTTTCCTGCTTTGCTCCTTGTTTTCTTTGGCCCCAGCATGGGGATCCATGGGCTGTAGTCCCTTGGGGTGTCCTCATTTTTTATTCTTTAACATTTAAAACTGGATATTCTCCTGCTGTTTTGCTAATTAAAATTTCCCCCAAGAAACCATAAAGGCTACTTTGAAGGCCTTAAAAACACTGGAAATAATTTTGTGGAAGGATTGATCTGTATATCAGTCCTTGGGTGTATATTTCTTGACAACACAGATAGAGAGATAAATAGATGATAGCCATTTCTATAGTGCTACTAGAAGCATATCCAGGTTTCAGATTCTTGTTCAACTAGTATCTGGGGATTTGGTTTGATATTCTGTTAATATGTTGCATGTTTAAAACCAGAAGTCTTCAAGATAAAAAACTGATATTAAGCACATTCTTTTGTTTAAAACAATAAGCAGCAGAAGGAAATACATTGTACTCTACTGTCCTTCACTAGATGAGCAATGAATTAAACCTGTGCAATTCAAAGCATGCAAAGAAAACATTTCTTAGTTCTCTTCTGAGTAAGTGACAGAATCACACAGAATCACATGAAAAAGCAAGACCTCCAGATCAACCTCCTGCTGGTAGCAGGGTGAGCTGTGAGGCCAGAGCAGGTTACTGAGGGTTTCATCCAGCTGGGTCTTTAAAAATTCTAAGTAATTTTTCTTCAGGACTGCAGAAGCCTTCTACCTTCTGACTGTAAAGTTAGGAAATACAGTGTATGCAGCACAAAAAATTCAACTGCATCAGTTAGACCATATTTGAATATCTGTCTGTGCTTAAGTGTTGATTTACTATGCAAATACAGAAACCCTGTCACTAGGAAGTTATGCTAGACTGAAAGAACCTCTCAACAAGTCTTGCAATTTCATTAAGCAATTAAAGTCCACATGGGGATTCTTTAATGAAATAGAGCACCATCAAGTGGCAAAATTTTCTTATATTACTATTCATGCCTATACCAGAAAACACCATGTGGAATTAAACTGTAATTGGTTCTTGAAAGAACACTTGCTCTACACCATACATTGTCATTGTGTATGTAGCACTGCATCACAGAAGTAAAGCTCAAAAACTGTTGCAGTAACTGATGAAAAATATGTTCTTGTCCTCCATTGTTTACAAATACTACATTAATAGAATTAAAATAAAAATAGGAGGGTATGAATATATCACAAATGGGATTCAGAAATACGAGCAGAAATTGTGGTCTCAGATAAATGAGGTTTAAAAGAGAAGACTAAAACCAATTTAGGTAGAAAGAGAAGATGATAAATGCAAAAAGAGAAAGAAAAACATTTATACTTACTTTTGGCAACGCATATTTTGGCAATTTCATCTGTACAAAGCCATTTCGACGGTAAGACACATAATACTTGGTCCGATTTGCTGATGTTGTCTGTACAAAGGAAAAACAGAACACTGTGATAGCTTATGCTAAACCTAAAGAACCTGAGATGGAAGTTTTTCTTTTTACCTGTAACTGAAATACATAGCTATTACTTTTATTGCATGCAAATAATCTGCACAGTAAACTGTTCTTCTCTTTAGGAAGACAAAAATTATTTACTTCCTTCTTTTGCCATTTCAGCAGTTTTGGGTGATACCTGAGACTTCAGCATCTCACTGGTCCCAGTCCTTACTAATATCTTTGTACCCAGTGGCCTCCCACATCTTTGTCCTATTGTAGAAGTTGGGGCGGCAGCAGCCTTTAGGTGAGAGGTAGGGAGGAGGTACAATGGCCATGAACACCAGGTACCCCAAGGGCAAGCAGTACTTCACAGCACACTTCAAAGCAGAGCACAAAACATTGAAATCATGCTAACATTATGTAAAGCATTTACTATATCTGACTAATATTTTCTATACAGGATAAAATATTCCCAGTGGAAGATGCTGACATGCCACGTGGAAGATAAGGATGCAATTTTAAGTCCATTGGTTGGTCAGTTTTAAACTCAGTGATATGTTCTGAAGACACAATTATATGCTTAAATAGAGAGGTAAAACACGCATTTAAACGACTTGCATGTATGAAACTGAAGACAGATTAGGTTTTACATAAAACACTTGGTGCTTTTGAAGATTTTCACTAAAGAAAGCCAAGAGAAACAGTTATTGAAAGGAACACTTCTGTATGACTATCACCCACAAAGAAACCCCACAACACCCACAAAAAAGCCCCCACAATGCAAATATTTTTCCAAAGCACCAAAAAGAATATTGTAAAAAAACATAGCTGAAAATTCTCAATTAACAACCTTCCATGGTTTTTCTAATCAGAAATATAACACCAAAATCTGTGCTGGTATATAAATCGGCATATTTCCAACTTAGCCACTTGAGCACCATCAGATGATATTAGTGAAGATTTTAGCCTTTGGTAAACAATATTTCACCTTTTTTCACATTTCCCCTGCCCAGAAGATCAGCTATGTAATGGCTACTTAGTAATTTTCACTACGCTTATAAAGGTTGGCTGCTTTGAAGAAATGCATTGGTCAAAAAAAAAGGAAGAAATTAAATGAAATGTCAAAAATTTTTCTCTGGTTGCCCACGACAAATCAGATTGTGAAACAGAAACACAAAAAGACTCATCTTCTTTCTTTGACTTAGGAAATCCATTTAAAATCCTACCCCAATCTCACTGTTTTTCTCCTCAACTTTTGTGTCTAAAAAGGGAACCTGATTTGGAAGACAGCCTATCCTGAAGCATACAAACTTGATGTGGCTTGGTAAAAATAGAATTGATGTATGACAGCAGGTCCACCCGTCTGAATATTTTAAAGATAACAAAGTATTCCAAAGTATTTAATACTGTAAGCATTTTCAGTCTTTAAACCCATTTCAAATGTGATGCTCTTTAGGAATGTCATTTGTTAAATGATGATGGATCGAACCAAAAGCCTCACCATTTGTTTAATTAGTGTTAAGTGGCAGTCTTACCTATCTTTTCATAGTCTTCTTTTAAATGCATTTTTTGTAATGTCACTCATTCTAAATGACTGGACATGATGCAGGGCAGAGGAGAATTGGAGTAGAAGCATCCAGTGATATCAAGCCTCTGTGAGATTAAAGGCTAGTCTATGCTTAAAAACAGTGTTGAAACTTTAATCTCCTACTAAAATCACTCTGAAACTGTCTGACTGCCATTGCAAACTGGAAAAGAAAGGAATACTATAAAGTTTCTGATCTTTATGGATATAGTTTCTGATCTTTGTGGACACACTAAAGAAATGGGGTTGAGATCATCCTCGAAGATGGTAAAAAATCTCAGATTTGGGACAGGTTTAGCAGTGCAGGCCTGTAATGCTCCAATTCGCATTTGCGAAGCTCAGGGCATGTGAGCAATGCCAGAGGCAGGAAGACAGCCTCAAACTCTCCTCTCTTTTTGCACAGATGATTCTGTCCCATCCTCTGTCTGACAGGCGATGCCGGGGATATCACGAGGAGTCCCTGTCTAAGTGTAACTTATACAGCAATATTTTAGTGCCATGATAAAAGAATTTCCACATGGTTTCAAAAGCATGCTGTTTGTCACATGTACAGTTGCTGTGAGGTTTCAATGGAATAGGCAAATACTGCATCACACCTCTGGGGCGGTTGCACTTCAGATGTGACTGTAGGATCCCAGAGTTATCTTCTAACGTCCAGCAACTGGGTTTACAGTAATTGGCTAACTGCAAACCAATTTAGCAATAAAATTTACATTATGTACTGTGGTTTACTGCAATTAAGTCTGAAAGGAAAAGACTGGAGATGTTTCCCCTTTATGTGGAACACATGAACATCTCATCTATTGGCACTGGCATGTGTCAAATCTACAGAGAACACATTACCAATGGCATCCTTTTGATTGTAGCAACTGTCTGTTACTTACATGTACATTTCCACATTGCACTTCCCTTTTGTGTCTGCTCATGCCCGGCATGAGATGGAATAACAGCTCAAGATGCAGTTGTACAAGGCATTCAGCAAAACAAAATGCTCGATGAGGAAGAAGCCAGACTTTTGCTGAGCACAGCAGTTCGTAAGTTCACATGGTGAGAAACAGTTCTCTTTGTCTGCACACCATGGAATGGATTTTAGAGTGTGCCTGGGGGGGGAGCCACAGATAATAATACCTTTGAGCAAAGTGAGCGCCACAAGTGCTAGATCTGATATGAAAAATGCCTACTTTAATCCAAAAATTCTTTCCCAAAGCCATTTTCTCTGTTTCCTTGTAGTGCTAATTGTTCTAAGCCATGCAGGCCCTTGAAACCACTGCGCCAAACAAGAGGAGGACAGATCCTTTGTGTCCCTACTAATTTACAGATCTTTGTGGAAGAAAGAGCCCCAAGGAGGGAAAGCTGCAAGGAAGCCATTCTGATGCACACTGAGGCAGTGGTGGGGAGACCTATCCATTGTCACAATATTGCTTTCCTGCAAAGGTCAATGAATAGACAAGCCTTGCAGCAAACAAATCATATCAAACTAAGGGAAAAATAATAGCCAACCACTGAGGAAAGCTCAAGCAACTTCCCCAGTAAAATCTAACAAAACAAGGAGGACAAACAAGGTTTTTTGAGAAGTTCGCAGCTCTGATAGATTCAAATCACAACCAGTGCCAAGCACATAAAAGAAAGTTTTCAAGTGTGCCTGAGCTGTACTGGTGCCATAAGCCTGACAAAGTTCCAGCCCATATTTCTGCACACAGGCCCTGTAGTTTGGGAATGAAATAACCCCAGTGTAATTTGGACCACCATGAGTTGTAGACGTGGCATTTAGGGCCATGGTTTAGTGATGGACTTGGCAGCATTAGGTTTATGGTTGGACTCATTCTTAAGGGTCTTTTCCAACCTAAATCATTCTATGATTCTATACTAGTTCGCTCCAAGATCTCAGCTATGACCATTTCACTCTTTTGCTTCCTAAGCACAACCATGTAAGTTCTATCCTGGCAAAACCTCTTCAGAGGAGAATCCTTATGAAGAAGTTGTGCAACCAGTCTGTCAGTGGTTGTCCACAGATGGTTTTATCGGGAACCTTTTTGTTCTACCAAGGTACTAGAAAGAACACAGAAGAGATTGTAAGCATAAGAACAGAAGGGTTGCATTTTGCTTATCACACAAGAGTATTTATAGAAAGTAACTTTTTGAACCATACAATCCGCTTGGAAATTTTCATATAGTTAAAGGGTAACTGGTTGCATAAACTAAAGATTTTATTTTTTTTTTTAATGATAAAGGAATGCTTTGTTTCCTGTAAAAATTCATAAATCATCATTCATACGCTGGAACAGGTTTCTCCCTGCTCCTTACAGTGTTGCTGCACTATTATTTAAAATTTTATTTTTGATTTGAGAATAAGCTGTCTCTCCCGAACGTGGCAGTACCTGAAGAAATATGTAGTCATCCTGCACAGTCAGGGAATCCCGATCAGTACTACCAGCAAATGGGACTGTCATTGTCTTATCAGAACAATTTTGAATCTGGCAAGTGATGTAGCGATAACCTGAGGGAAGAGAGACAGAAACATATGACAGGGCTATCAAGGGAAAAAGAAGCAAGCAGTATTAAATGTTATTCGTGTAGAAAAAATGGCTGCCTTTGCCAGGTGAGTTAGTTGTAGAATTATTATATTAAACCCTCATACAACAGTTTTTCAATCTCCAATGTACTGAGAATATATTAACTGCTTACAGTTCAGATCATTCCCTGGAGGCAGCCTGTTATTATCTAAATGTTGCTGGTCCAGAGAGATTAAGGGTTAGATGAATGAGCCATTCATGGGTGGGGATAATAGAAGGAGCCTCTTTTCTCACTTAACCTATGCATAGAGCCAAATTATTCACTTGGAGAAATGGCAGCCTGACACAACATAACTGAAATCAATAGATCAACCCCAGTATAAAATTGTGATGAATGAGAAAAGAATCAGACTCGTTTAATAGACAGTGTGCAGAATTTTAAAGGCTATTTTCAAAGCTTTGTAAGAATGTTCAGAGACACTATTAACATGCTATTGGAACTGCTCTGTTGGGGCAGGATTTCTATATTCAGAATTAATACTTTGCTGAAAAAGCCTGGACTGATTTATAATCAGTGGAGGCTGCGGCCTTTCTCTTCTTCTCCAGTTAGCAAGGACTATCCTCTCTACCTGGGTTCTTAGAACAGCACCACTGCATCTTTGATACAATCTGCTCTTATCAGAGAGAGTAGAGCCAACAATCGTATCTTACACCAGCTGTGGCTTAAAGACCTTCTCCTAGATTCAAGCTCTTGTACAGCTCACCCTTCCTCACAAGCTTCTGAGCACAAAGTACTTGAGTGACTTTTCCAAGCACAGCGAGGAAAAGGTTATATACACAGTCTTGTGTCCAGATCACTAATTCTACCCATGCTCCATGTACAGCATGAGGGAGAGCAAACAATGCAACCCCATGTCCTTCACTACTTTTGCAGTGTAATAGGAAATGCATTCCACACTTTATGACTTTTAATTAGACAAGGCCAAACCAGTATACCGGATACAATTATTTTTTTTTAAATCTGAATGTGTTTAAGAGGCAATTAGAGTCAATTCAAGTTCTCCTGATTATATCCAAATCATCACTACCAGGACATTTGACCAAGTGCAGCAATGGACCATCTAAAAGTCTTGCAGATATTCATAATTCACATCACAAGAATTATAGCTCTTCATCAGATAGGTAGTGCAAAGATGTTGTTTCCATTAAAATCGATGGCAATGCTTGTACTGACCGTAAGTGCACAAAGTCAGTTTGTTGAGAACCCAGCCAGGAAATATGTCATTATTCTTTTTCTGCTGTTTCTGTTAAATTAAAAACCCAAACAAACCTTTCCATCCAGGTCCTAAAAAATCTTTTTACACTGTCTCTAGAGAAAGCAGCTGAGGGAGCTGTCACTATGTCTCAGAAATCTCGCTTCTAAAAGATTTAGAAACTTTGTCATCCAGCTTTTAACATGGCAACTTTGATTTTTTTGATAGGGCTGAAATGAAAAGTTACAGGATCGGGACAAATTAAACTGCACATTCTTTACAACTGCATTTTTAAGACTGCACAGGAACTTAGATGATCAGATTCAAGGAATTACATTACCTTTAAAGAGTACGATTGGTAACAAGAAACTACACCAGATTTTGGAATCATGGTAACTCTTTAGTACAGCACATCCTGACTACCAGTCTGCTTTTTCATTTATTTTCCTTTTGAAGACTCAAAGTATACTGGATACTGTAACATGAGGAAATTCTGGGAGCTGGTGGTTAGTGCAGTAGACCTGACATATGCAATGATTCACATAAACAGACACTTACCCAGCACTAACACTGCATTGCCAGTTTTATTTGCAAATTGGGAAAAACTGTTCAATGTTTAACTGCCAGAATAAATTGCACCATTAATGGACATTTTCAACGGAGCATAACATCTTGACGTCATCTCATCTTACAAGGGAAAACAAGTAGACTTTAAATTATACTACATTCTTATATAACGGGGCAGTTTTGCTGACTACATATAAACAGAGAAAGCATCTGACTTGTACAATTTCTCTTCTGACTTGTTTTAAAAACAATCTGAAAAGTACCTCTAAAACAAAGAGAAATTGCTATACACTAGGGTATCAATTGATAACATTTTCATTTGCATACCTCCACTGGGGTCCTGGATTTCCATATGAACTAAATCAGGGTCTGCGTCAACTCCAGCAACGGCCCTGAGAACATAATATAATCAAATTATGTAGAGCCAGCTACAGAATAGTAATTATGTGGATGGAAGAAAAGAGAGGCTTTCATACTAACCAGCTTTAACATTCTAGCTCAGAAATTGAAATAAATCCCATTTATAATGTCCCATTACTAACATCTAGAAGGAAATTATTTTTTCTGTACTTGACAATGTTTCCCTTAAATTTCTTTAGAATCTCTTTTACTAACCTATGCATAAAAATAGGATAAATTGAAAAAAAAACCAGAAAAAGGTATGAAATCGGAAAAACCCCCTCATAATAATGAATTGATACATGTACACACAGAGATATGCACACAGTCACAGGCACTGGCAAGCACTATAGCATCTTTTTACAATTATATTTGACATTTGAGACTAAAAAGCAGATTTAGTGCTAAAAAGACTTAAGATTCCTTTCTTATAAGAAATATCTTAAACTTGACACAGAGTTTCCATAACAAATTGATATATCTTTGGTTAGTACATTCAAGAGAAGAGTAGATTCCACTTTGACAAAGAAAGTGAAGATGAATTTTGAGAAAAACATCCTGAGAAGGAAATTCAGACACAATTGATCAAGGTGCAGTTTAACTTTGAAAAGCTATAATGGGAATACAGGCTGATTTTCTCCTAATATCTCTCATGTCAAATATGCTCAGCCAAAAGATGAGTTTTCTACCCTCAGGGCTTCCATCCCAGCCTGGGAATGGCAGCCCCAGCTGTGCTTTTTTCTGGCCTTTCTATTGTCATTAGTCAGGCAGATTCTGCAGAGAAAGGTTTGAGCTGACAGTTGTGTGTCACTAAGTGAGGCAGAATCCGGCCCCACTCCCAGAGTCACATCACTCTTGCCAAGGCTCTTCACTGGCATGGCAAGAGTCCATTGAGTCAGCAGATGTGAGTTGAAGACAGTCAAAGGAGATACATTGAGTGATAAAGTGCAGCTGGATGCAGATACTAAAAAACCCCATTAAGATACTTAAGAGAAAATGATAATTTTGATACAATTATTAACAATCAAATGCAATAAAGCTATACTTTAGATTGAAATTACATCATTGTTTAATTATTTTAATAGCATTAATTTATGAGGGGCAGTTAAAACTCAGACTCAGTAATTGGTGGCTCCTTGGGAACACAGTCTAGGGGGACGAGACCGGATGATTTCCACTGGTGCATAAAAACCAGAAATAATCACATATGCTGTTTTCCCCTAATAAGATAAATGATCAGTACAAAAAAGGATGGGGAGGGTGAGGGATGAGCCCCTCCAAGCCATAAGATGTAGTGGAAACTTCAGTGGATTTATTTTTTTTTTAATAAATGCATGGAAAAATCTTGTATTTAATAAGAATATGGTCTCTCAAACACAAACTATTTTAGCATTTTGGAGGCAATACAGTAGGTCAGATAATATTTTAGAATCAGTGAGGTATGATAAGAATATATATGAGCAGAGGAAAGGGATGTGTGAACTTTTTTGCTGTGTGTGCTGTTATCTATCTTTCTAGATATCCACAACACCAAATCAAACCTGCTATCAACTCTACAGTCAGCAATTTGAGGGAAAAAATGTTTGCTGAATATTTTACTTTTTGTGTTGGACCTCATGCAGCTGAACCACTGAAATTTTTAGGTTGAATTTTCTAAGGCTCAGCTTGACATACTAACAAGCATCAATAATGAAAAGGAAGTTTTTGGGTACTTCTGAAATTACCTCTTGTATCTATTATATATGACACCTGATTTCATAAACACAGTTTGAGGTATTTGTCAATATCTTTACCTTCTCATCTTTCTTTTAACAGACCATAATTACAATGATCTTCCTTCTACCGTGCTCCTCCTAACAGTGGCAGCTGACACAAGTAGATTCTAATCTTATTTCCAGAGTAATCTTTTAGCGCAAGAAGATGTAGCTGATCTGTTTTAACTAACATTTCAGAACAAAACTTTCCAACCCAGACTACATTTCTTCTTTAGACTTTTATTTGAGTAGATGCCAATAAATCACAAGAAAGGGTTTTTTCCTTAACCTGGCCAGGAAAATAATACCTCTTTCCCTCTTAAGTTCAGACATTTCCCCTATCCCTTTTTAAAATTATCCTTTACTAGTCAGGCAAAGTTACTTCTAAAAGGCAACTCCTCTATTCCTAAACCAGCTGGATCACCTCCCACAGTGTCCATTGACTACAAAGAAGGTTTAGGATGACAGGTCCATACTCCAGTTTGACAAGCATTTCTTCTCACTGCTTTACTAGATTATATCACTCCACTCTGTGTCCCCAGTCTTGCTTCTACTTTGTCCCATTGAACTTGCATTGAGAACTGTCTAATCTAAAGGTGACCCTGCAAAGATGTAAGCCACCAGGCTGCCAAAAGGAATAATCACTAAGCTATACCTGTAGATGTCTAACTTCACCCAGGTCTAAATGAGTGATGGTGGTGCACCTCTGGAGTTTAGATGCATGCTCTACATGCAGTTTATCCATTCCAAAAGGCACAAATTAAGCAGAATATTTAAAAACTATGACTTGTGTTTTTCATTATTCTAATTGTACTGATGAACTCTAACAGCAGAGACTCTGTTTACTCAATGAAGACATTACACCCTCAAAGTCTACTTTTGAATGTCAGCTACTGAGCAGTTTCTGAACTCCGAAGTCCCTTTACCCAGCTTTACAAACACTTAGGAATAGCCCTTTCTTCTTTTATTGAAAAAAAGACCAAATCTATTACAGCTGCTAGAAAAATCTTCAGAAGAGAGTATAACTAATATAGAAAATCTGAAGCTATATTCCTGAAGAATAAACTAATCTCATTTCAGTGGACTCCTCTGCCAACAGTACTTAAAAGATAATACTGTTATTTCATTTGTGCTTAAATCATGAACCAAAGAGAAAGTTGTATGATACTCTGCAGGCTAAACACAATCTAGGTCCCTCTGCTCACATGATACAGCTTTCTTAAAATGAAGGGCAAACAAGGTACATACAGGGACACAAATAGCATATGATCCCCTTAAACAGAAAGCTCAATTACATTTTTTTTTCATATTGAGGGAGAAATGCAAAACAACATTTTTTTGCATCTTCATTTATAAACTTGCTACTACCAGAACATAAATGCATTGTACCAGTGTGAGGACTGTGTCCACACATCGATTCACAAGCACAAGTTTACAGTTACCTGGCTGGCTTTAGGATAGGACTTCTTCTGTCTTATAAAGCAGAGATGCAATAGACCCTAGTAATCTGACAGTTTCTTCCTTTTTGGTTGACATTTCAGCATAATTTTTTTTTCCCCCAGTAGAACAAGCACCTTCTCAGGAACTATCTATTTTTCTCAATTTCAGTAGGGGTTTTGGTTTGGTTAAAATTCCCCCACTCTTTTTCTCACAGTACTTTGCAATGAAAATGTTCACACCTCAGCAGTCTAGGACCATTTCTTTATTTAGTTGTTTTATTTAGCTAAATTCAGGGTTTTCTGGTTTATGTTGTTTTAGTGTTTTGCATTCAACCACTGAGTTTTCCAATGAAATTCAGACTAACTTCTAGATCAGACAAGTCTTCCTCTAGGAAAAGAAATATTTCTTGACCAAGTATACTGTGCTGGATAAAGCAAGTGCAACATACACCAGCACTTCAGATCACATAATAGCGTGGTTATAACACTTCAGAATTAAAATAGCCTGACTTGATTGCAGGGTGCTGCAAATACAGGCAACCTCAATATGCTTCTTCCCTTTCCTGCGAACACAAGGTTCCATTATCTCCCTTGTGCTTGTCTGACACCATGTTGAGCCTCTTGGGAAAACTAGGCCTGCAGAATGTAATTTTAGAACTTTTTTGAGGGATTAGTTTTCCGTTTCTTAAATCACCGGATCATGCCAACAGTTGAGCACTAATCCTGCACAAGAAAAGCAGGAAGAAAGCTGCTATTGGTGTCACAGAGGTGGAACTGCCACCACTCTGGTGCAGCCTTTGTGTATGTCTAACCTCAGTTATGTTGTAAAGTTGTATTTAATAAAACACAGTGAGAAACAGGGGGAAATCAGGGCACCTATGTTTCCATTTGGGCTAGTATTTGATCTCCTGAAGGATACTGTGGAGCCTTTTCTTATGCATATGGTTTTTTAGACACCATGTCTCTGCTGCTACTTCCTTCTCAGGAGGAGGACTCCTCACACTCTTCCCCTGTTCCATCATGGGTCCCTCCCACAGGATGCAGTCCTTCAGGAACAGGCTACTCCAGTGTGAGTCCCCTGTGGGTCACAAGTCCTGCCACCAAACCTGCTCCAGTGTGGGCTCCTCTCTCCACAGGGCCACAGGTCCTGCCAGGAGCCTCTTCCAGTGTGGGCTTCCCATGGGGTCACAGCCTACTTCGGGCATTCATCTGCTCCACCATGGACCACCATGGGCTGCAGGGTGACAGCCTGCTTCATCATGGCCTTCACCAAGGGCTGCAGGGGAACCTGTACTCTGGCCACTGGAGCACCTCCTCCCCTCTCTTCTTCACTGACCTGGGTGTCTGCAGGGCTGTTCATCTCACATATTCTCACTCCTTTCTTTCACGTCTGTTGCGCATTTTTTACCCTTTCTTACACAGGTTATCACAGAGGCAATACCAGCATCACTCACAGGTTCAGCTTGGGCCAGCAGTGGAACCAGTTGCACTTGGAGCCAGCTGGAACTGGCTCTGTCTGACACGGAGGCAGCTCTGGGTCTCTTCTCACAGGAATCCTGAACTCTCCTGCTACCAAAGCTTGCCACATAAACCAAATAAGTCACATACATCATCACACAGACAGAAACAGAAACAAAACCCACTGCAAGTGATCAAGTCAAACTTAAGAATAACTGCCCACACAGATTCTTGGCTTCCCACACAAGAGCCTTTCACATGAAATTCAATGCTAAAGGCTCAGTGAAATCCTCTTTGCATTTCTCTCCTTCAGGGCATAACATCGCTGAAATCCCCTCTTTCACCTGACACTTGAATAGCCAGGAACCCACTACGCTTGACGTAAACGGGTATGGCTGTGAGGGATTATCCATATGGGATTTCAGGATGAGAACAGAACTTTGGTCTCCTGAGAACAACTGCTCTACCCAAATAAACTCATCATTTTTTACTTTTATGTTCTCACTTCTCATGAAAATAGAGAACCTGCAGCTAAAAATAAGAGTAACAGATACCCATAGCATAGGATCCACATATCCTAGTGAGCTGGGGATAAAGCATTCCTAAGGCTCTAGACAGAGTCATAAAAGAAATGTGTCAGGCCTAATTCTCTGGTAATTACCAATTCATTACTTACTGTCCCGGGGTATATTAGTGCTGATGTAGACAGCTGATTCACAATCTATTCTTTGCTTATGTATTACTAAGTTCTATTTTGAGAAATCAAAAGGATTTCTCAATGGGGCATAAGCCTTGGAGGCTGAGAAGAATAGCAGCAGAGCCAGAGGAATCCCAAACTGCACTACTCTTTCTTCTTCCACATAATAACCACTCCTTTTTTAAAATGGATTTCGTATACAAACCCAGTTATATACCATGTGATAGGTGGATGTTTAATGTTTGGCTGGAATAGGTTGTATCTCCTTGCATTCCCTCCTAAAAATGCATCAAGAACTGGAAAAGGTATTTCTAAATTATGGGTATTATAACATCCCTTAAACAGAAACTGTCACACTGGGGCCAGTGGAGTTTGTATGCTGAAGTAAAACTGGTCACAGCAATCAAAGTTTCTTAATTTTACAGAAAAAGAATCTTCTCAAAATTGAAAAAAATAACATTAAAACATTCAATGTTAAAAAGGGGGTGATTTTAATTTTCCTAATTAATATTTACACAGATATAAAAGATATATATTCTAAACATTGACACAAAAAAATTCAGTTTTTTCAATCACAGTGCTACTTAGCATCTTATTTTATCATTAGTTGCAAATCTGCCTTTCATGCTTTTGCCTTATAGCGCTTTTGTTTTTAGAATAGAATAAACTTTTTCAGTTGGAGGGCACCTACAACAACCATCTAGTCCCATTGCCTGACCCATTCAGCACTGACCAAAAGTTAAAGCATGTTGTTAATGGTGTTGTCCAAATGCCTGTTGAACAGGCTTGGGGCATCAACCACCTCTCTGGGAAGCCTGGTTTGCCTTCTAAGATGCTAAGAGAAGGCCAACTCCTATGAAGGATTAGTCAACTTTCTTTTCCAAAAGAATAAATTAAAGAAATAGGGAAAATAGCTAGGATGCTGTAAGAAAAGAGCACGCTATATCACAGATAAGAAGAAAATATTCTGTGCTCCTAAATTAGAGATGGTATAATACACTTTCCATTGATACCAATAACATTTTCATTAGTTCCACTACCATGAAAAATCAAATTCCAGATATTAAATCTGCAAACTTATTTAAGAAATGATCGAGAACACTTCAAAAGCAAATAAATCCTAGAAGATGATATTAATATATTACTCATAAACCTACAGTATAAGATCTAAACGTAAATAGTTCAAATACTCTGTCTGTACTGACCTCCCCTTAATACAGACACATATCATATTCCATTAAATTAATTGTATTTATATTTTCATGGAGTAAAAAAAAAAGCTTCTTCATGAAGCGCATGAAGATTTGGCTGCTTCTGCAAGCACAGGAAAAAATTGTTTTTACAAAACACATGAAAATATTATGACTGATAATATTTGTAGTTACCAGACTGCAATAAAAATCTTAGGCTATATTATTGACCTGAGTGGCAAAGCTCAATTGAAATCAAACTAAAAACATCTGTTAAGGATCTGCCCAGGCAAATGTTTTTGGCACAACCAGCCAGTATCAGCAAGAGACATGCCCTCATTTATCATGAGATGTACAATTAGTTGGACACATATCTTTAGCACATCAGATATTATACACTTAGTCTTTAAAGTCAAAGTATGACAAAGCTCATGTCCTTACATCTGTTGAAAACTACAAAAATGCTTGTTTCTATCTAGCAGTCAGATAATTTGGGTGACAAAGGCCAAAAAATACCCGAAAGTCTCATCTGACAGACAGACCACCCTGCAAGGCCATTATGTCCAATTCTCCATCACAGCAGACTCCTTATATATTGCAAATTTCCACATGATATTAGAAGTAAAATATATTTATATATCTTTATTTCTATGTAAGTTTGTGAGAAGGATCATTTGGTAGTGATGCACTAAACATCTGCTTCCAAATCTTTGCTGATGGCTGATAGTCTTTGAGAGAAATCAGTATGGTCTATACATATAAAAGAGGAAAACAACCCCCTAGAAAATACATCTAATGCCTATAAACGTACAGACTCTTAGAATTTATTATTCCTATCTGTGAAGAACGTGACATTTATGAACAACCGTGATTTTGAAGTACTGCATTGGAATTATTCCTATCAAAGATCCAGGACACTTTCCTGATTGTATCTGAATGATATAAGGAAACATAAGGATTCTGAAACAGCAAAATACAGACTTCTAATTAAACATGCACTTTCTGGCTTTAATCCTTAGATACAGAGAACAACGACAGATAATATTTGAGTTGGAGAAAAACTGACACATATTTTAATGGTTTTGTTATATTTTTCATAATTTAAGTATGCTAAGTGTCAGGTAAGAAAAGCACCAATAAACAAGTCTGTGAGAGAGAGGTTTCCACTTTTATTTCTACCTGTAATGACTTTATTTGTTTTCAGACTTAATGCATTTATTAAAAAAAATTATTAAAGACAGATAACCACATGCCCTCATGATTTACATCCTATATAATCTTGCTAGGGAAAAATTAGTTATAAGGTGGACATGACCCATGGTGTTACTCCTTAACGATTATTTTACTCTTTCACATGGTACTTAAGAGACCTGAACTAAAATAAGTCATTTAGGGAGTGCAAGTGTCTAGCACATTATAACTATTCTTGTAATAAAAAATACATAATACATAATTACACAATGAAGTAAAATGTGAAAGGGGCAATTGAGTGTGAGATGGACCAATTTTAAAAGTAAACTAATTAAAACACTATCAAAAGTTTAATTTTGGTGTAAGAGAAACTATACACTTTTCAAATTAATTTCATTTGTTAAAAAAAGGGCATTGACTTACTTTTCAAACATTTTGTCAACCTGTTTAAATCACTTCTTAAACATTTAGTGAGACTGCACAATATTTAAGCTGAAAATTAAATGATTTGATATATGTGTCCTCAATAAAGGACAAATATTTTTCACCAAATGTTATAGATTTTTCTCTGCAAAAAGACTGTTCTCCTTTCTAAAGATAAGTTTCACCAGTCAATGCAGAGCAGTTTCATTCAATATTTCAGCTTTCTTCAAATCTTGGTCTCCATAGATCCAGACCGATAACCCTTCCATGTGATGATATCTGGTATGATCATTGGTATGAATTTGCAATAGAGGACACAGAAACATCAATTGCAAATCTGCAAATCTGCAAAAGATGCCAGGGCTCATATTGCCCCACCAGTATCTCTGGAAACATCTTTCTTGATTAGAATGAAATACTTTTGCTCTTCATTTTATTATTTGGAAAATAACAGACTTCTTACCAAAAAATATGATCTTTAGAAACTCGTTCCTGCAGAAGGGTCCATTTTTTCCCCAAGTCAGTAGATACATAGACCTAAAAAAAGGGAAAAAAGAGAAAAAATGAGATGATAGGAAACTGCTAATGTACATCTTCAAAGACAGGTCCTATGTCGCTATTAAATGAAAGATTGTACACCAATTAAAAAAAACCCAAAAACATTACCAGGAACTCTGTACAATATTTTTCAGAGTAACAACCTTTCATGGAGAAAATCTTTTGAAATATAATCTATAATTTAAAAAAAAACTCTGTGACAATGTCTTCTTATTTACCATGAAAAGAATTCCCAGATCAGTTGGGGTCAAATTCTTTTTTACATCATCATGGTTACTCAAGAGGCATGGTAGAAGGGCACTTCTCTTCCCATTCATTGATCAAAAAAGAAAAAATGTTCCCTTTATGCCATCAAAAATACTAAGCCAGGAAGTCAGTGGATTTAAACCTCTGCTAAAATAGGACCAAAAGACATTAGAGAAATGCTTAGGAGATTTGATGAGGAGAGATGTACTTAAGGGATTGTTTCATGGATACCAATTTGTGGCCCATGAGAAGTGTTCCCTCAGCAGAGAGGCAAAAGATGGCCTGGACAGGGAGGACTCCAGCTCCACCTTCCATATGAATAATTCACCCCTGGTAAGAAAACAAATGCTAATGATATGGATGGGTATAGAGTGCAGATGAAAGTTGTTTTCCCCCAGATTAAAGTGGGATATAAAATAGCTATTCAAAAATCTCCCTCCTTTAGCATTTGCCTTCATTATGTCTCCTCTAGTTAAAATAGGAAGCTTCTATCAGACTTCTAATAAGATAGATTTAAAGCCCCCTGCTGTCTGCATGCATTTCTTATTTGATCCAATTTACATAAGATGAGTTTTCTCTTGATATCTCTAATAAGGAAAAAAAGGAAAGTAAAACTCTTCTTCTCTGCTGTGGGAATAAGTCACCAGTTCAGACACTGGGGGAAAGTTCTGGGGGAAAGTGTCTTATAAGGACTAGTAAGGAACACTTTTGTTTTAAAATGACAGATTCAATGACAAGAGATGGAAAAAACCCCCACTGTTATGTATTATGTTCTATTACAGAAAACCAGCAATATTAACATATATAAAGATAAAGGTTGAGGTAACTTAGCACAAACTCTATGGGTAAATTTACCGAAGTTCAAACTAGAGATAAAATAGTATTTCCCAGTTACTCTGCACTTCCAATGGCTTTCTTCCATTCCACACTCAATTACAGCTGGCAGACCACAGTTAGAGTAGGAAACTACTTTAGCATTGACCCAGTCAGTGCACAGAGAAATGATCAAGGACCAAGAACTCTTCATCCTCAGAGCTAAATGATGGGGCTGCAGAGCCTGGCTCCTGATTTGCCTACATTTCTGTTATTAGCTGTATTATGTGGGTTAGGATTTGAAGCAACTAGGGTATTTTATAGCATATTCCTCTGAGCAACCTCCTGGGAGGGACAGATGTAGGCTCTGAATGGGCTAGACTGTGCAGGATGAAGAACCTAAGCTGCTTACTTCTTCAAACATTTGTCACCACAGGCAATAGAGAAAAGATAACCAGTGGTTACACCATCTTTCTAAAAGGTCCCTGCTCATCGAGTTACCTGCCTCAGCAGACTGCTTAAATCTGGGAGAGATGATCACTTAATGTGCTACCCTAACCCTGGTGTCTAAGCTGCAAAGAAAGCCAAGAATTCAGAGGTTCCTGGCAAGAGGGCAAAACGCTACTTAGGATAAAGGACAACACTGGCACGTGAACAAAGGGATATAGTTTTGTCATCAATGAATTTCAGAAGAAAATGAGAGAAGATTCTTGCCCTTATAACAGTTGCCTGTACAGTAGGGGCCAAAAAATACTAAATCAAACACACATTCCCACCACTCCCCAAACCCAAACTACCTCCTTACACACACATTTCAGATCAAAGTCCGGGAGCTTATGAATGAACAGTTTGGCTTACTGCAGGGGAAGCTCTGGTAATCTTAGTGTAAGGGAGAGAGAAGTAGGACTAATAAGTCATATTCAAACGGAAACAAAATTTTAACTGACACAGTGTTTGAAATAAATAAAAAAATAACATGTAACTAACTTATGCACACATTGAACTAGCTATAGTAAAAAAAAAGTGACCCATGTGTTCTGTTTTTCCACAGGGACATATGATAAAACTACTAACTGAGATCAGATACGGAGTGAAAACAGTTATATTAGTGGACAGCTAAAATCTCTGGCTTCAGCAAACACATCTAATAGATCTTGTAATTCTGTTTATTACCACCCATGTAATAAATGTGAGGAATCACATTTAAAAAAAATTTGGAAATACTTTTATGTTTTGCCATTTTTTCAACATTTCAGCTTCCAAATGAGCAATTAAAATCTACAGTATCCCTGACAAGGTTTAAAAAAAATCTAGAAACATTTATGTAGACTCAGCAAACAGCTGATTGTTATTCATTATAACTGAGGAGTAGCCAGAAAAAGAGCATATAGATTTGAGGCAGTAAATGGATTAATCCAACAATATTGACTGGATTTGCATTAATTTATAGTGTCAGCTAGAGGCTAGAGCTCTATTTAAACAGAATCTAGGGTTCTGAATGAATGAACAATGTATATTTTGCACTACGAAATAAGCCCTAAATCGAATCAAAAGTTGTGAAAAAGGCTGTGATGCTGCAGTAGACAGAGAAGCCTTGCTGATTGCTATTTATGAAGGACAGTCCAGTATTCCTTGCAGTCTCCAAAGCGCCTTTGTAAGAAATCATTTGAGTAACAGAAGGTAATGGTTTCTCCTGAGTTTTAGATTGTGTTACATTCTGATGCTACTTTCTTTTAGGAAAGGTAAAGTTACTTCACTCAAAAATCTAGAGTACATTTGTCTCCTCAGGGCAACTTCAGATCAACACTATCTCTCAAGATCATTGATTTCAGTACAGTGACCTTTTCTTGTGTCAAGTGGCAATTATGATTTTCAACTCCTTCTATGCCAACATCATTTTATCTTCCACTCCCTTCTAGGCCAAGTATATCAGATTTTATACAAAATGTAAGCAGTTTACTGACCCAGTTACAGTCAAAGGCATCCTTCACTCATGCACATCCTAGGTAACAATGTAGGACTTGTTAAGTAAGTCTCCTTGGTTGACTCTTTTTAGTGTCATATTGAAAGCCTGAGAAAAGGCCATCAGATTACCTAACCCTTCCTGCTATTCCTGCAGAGCAATCTTTTGTTGAATATTTTGTAGGGGTTTTTTGTCCAGTCACATTTAAGCATGGAAAATAACAGCATCATTCCTTTCAGAAGACTATCCAAGTCTAAAATGCCCAGCAATCTCCCTAACATGCTTAATTCATCAAAACACAAACCGAATGCTTTATTTTGTATTTCTGCCTTCTATCTTCTGACAAATACTTCTAGCCACTCCTGGGCTGGTCAGTTTTTCAGTACACTTCAGACTCTTATACTTCAGTGTTTTGCCAATCTGTAACTATGCAGAGTTCAGTAATTATACCTATGACGAGGAAAAAAAGCCAAATTGAAAAAGGAGGTTTTCATAACATAGACTTTCTATGACCTCAGGCTTCCCTGAAGTATTTTATTTACATAACATACATTCAAGTTATTTGTAATTGTGTTACAATTTCAAATTGAAGCTAAGTAAAATATTTAGCGTCGTCTATGACTTAGTTTGATTTGTTCTGTTTTTTATTCTAGATCTATCATTATTTGCAAATGCCTGTAAAAATGAACTGGTTTGGGATCAGCTATTAACTTATATCCCAGGAAATATCCCAAAGGATGATCTAACACCACTGGAGTCGGTGCAGTATTTGGCTGCAGCATGTGCAAATTTGTCTGGCTAATGTCACCACCCAAATACACACCTTCTGTGAGGTCTGACCACTTTAAAACAGGAGTAATGATGGAGGTGAGTCAAGACCACTACCAGGACCAGAATTACAGTGAGTTTGCAGCTGCAGTTTTGGCACTGTGAAAAGGAGATGAGATGAGCTACACACTCCCCAGTGCTTAGGCCAACCCGTTCAGAAAAATGACTTCACAATTTAATCAGAAGAAATCTGAAAACGGTTCAAAATTTGCAAACACAAACAACTCCTGAATCTGATAGTGGTATAAACACATTATAAGAGAGACAATTAGTCTACATTTCTACTGATTCCCCAAATCCTATTCTGTTGTACGAGTATGCAGTTTATTTTGTATGACTTTATTTTATATGACATGAACAGTCTTTGGAGGCACTATTTCAGCTTCATTAACTTTCTACTATACCACAAATTTTTTATGCTCACTTTCTAGGGAGGAGCACATTTCAGAAGTATTATTTAACTATATTATGCAGGAGGGTAAATATTCCCAATATCCATATCAACTGAAAATGCCAGGATTGAAATTACCATAAAAACAAAGATTTGGATGTGAAAATAATTAATATTTAAATAAAGCTCAAAACCACTATATGATTCCCTTCTGGACAACTGGTATTTCATAAAACCCAACACTAATCAGCATATTAAAACTTTTTGTGTCTTCTTAACAAAGTAACTCTTAAATTTCAAACAAATGCTGTATCTTCAAGCTTTACCTTGCCTTCCTTGGTGTAAGCAAGTATTTTATCTTCTTCTTTCGGGTGAAAAAGGAGGGTTTCCACAAAGAAAGTAATGGGTTGTTTCTGGAAAGTGGCTCCTTCATCTGTGCTTATGAAAAGGCTTTGGTCACGGTCATTGTGGGAAGAACTTACAAGAATTATCTAAAAGACAAAACCAACAACATACATTCAGAAGACTGTTTTCGCTATAACAGAAAACACAGCCCTATTTTTCTTGTGTAAATGTCACATACCTTAGCTACCAAAATTCTGTGGACAAGAAACTCAAAAGTATCTAAGAGTTAAAGACTGCAAGATCTTATTAATCTTGCCTGACCAAATCTATGAATGTTAAATTCTATAACTTCTCTTGCAAATCACACCAAACTGATCATGCTCCTCATCTCTACTCAGAATGAATGCCTTGGATTTTGGTGCTTTTGAAAGGTTCATGAAGCCACATGAGAAAATCCCCAGATTAACAAAAAAAACCCCCGCTAGTAATGACTCATTTTAACATGTGTTTATAAATACACCTCTTTGTCTAGTGAGGCTACTAAATGTAAAAATAATCATTGCCATAACTATATTAGGTGAATGACCCAGGAGAAAGAACTAGTTAATAATATCTCTCCATTCCTTCACCATTCTCCTCTTGCTGACATATTTTGGATAAAAAGGCAATTCACCTTGATGCAGAAAAATATGCCAATAAATTATTTGCATTTCTTTCTCAGGTCCATATTATGTCTTGACTCAAACAAAGCAATATCTTGAGCTGTGTCCTTGTGTGACCTTCATGTCAAGCTTTCAAAAACAAAGAAATTCTCCCCACATAATTCAGTCAGAACTTGACTTTTCAACTTCTTCACCTTTTGCAGTTGGCCAGCATGTTATAGCATGGTTCTAAAACTGCTAATGTGAGGATCCATTTATGACCCAAATGGGTCCACTTGGCATTCAAAAAAGTGCCTTTATCAACTGATAGCCTGCAAACAAAATGGATTTTCATAGACCAGCTGGGCTCTCTCTAGCTCACACTACAAAAACAATTAAAAAAAAAATCCTGAAATCAAAATGCATTTAGAATATTCAGCAAATGTTGCAGAAAACACCACAGAATACTGATCACTGTGATACAATGACTGTAAATTGCTTACAGAGATAAATAAGCAATGAGTTATGCAAACAGAATTGCAATAATGTGAATACAGAGAAAGAAAAGAGATTAGAAAAAACAGCAAAATTTTTATGTAGTCACTTTCTTGGATTAAAGCTGAAGTTAAAATTTTGAAATTTCAAATGAATTATACAGATATGACAGCTGTATGAGCTTTTACTACAATTGGTCTTGGTGGAAAAACTATAAATACAACATTTGTAGATGCTCCAATTTGACAGGTTACTTAAGTGTGTGCACCTGTACTTGAAGCACGTACACAGTTTCACTAATTTCTGAAGGGCTTTTGTATACCTCAAATAGGGCACATATTGAAGTACATTGTTGAACAGGAGAGAGTATTGCACATACTTCAGGGTTCATGGTCCACTGCTGAAATCCCACACTAAAGCATATATTAAGCCAAATCTAATTCCATCAACTGTGTGACTAGGTCAGTAAGAAGAGTAAAATAATAACCCATTATGCTGCTATAATCTTGTATTTTTTAATGATATAATTTACCCCAGAGTAGGAACAGGAAACTAACGTTTTTAAGCCTCTGTAAATGACACCTTCACAAATGTCATCTCTTATTCCTACTGTATCCAATGGCTTCCTGTCTCTTGGGAAGTGCTTCAAAGAGGATCTGTTTAATTTATTACTATCTGCAGTCCACTAGTAGCTGCTGGTGGCCTCGATACAACATTCAAAGATTCTTGTAACACACTCAGTAGGTTTTCTGCAGAGGGCATGGCATCAACCTGAAATGGAATGTGGCTGTGATGTGCTGCCCTGTCCCTTTGCTTGCATCGCAAGGTGGAGTGAGGAAGCATTTATGCCCAGTGTGGAGATTTGTACTTTCTTTGCCAGATTCCCATCTGCAACTCAGGCTCAAAATATCTATTTTACCTGGAAATAGATAAATCCAATCTATCTGCCTGCTGAGAGAGCTATATAATGCTCACTCCTGTTGGTTCATGACCAGAACACAGACAGAAGGATCAGGTTCTGTCCACAAGCAAGGCTGCAATGTGAGCTCCACAATTCCTGATGAGCCTTGTGTCCAGGCATGTCCTCATATCTGAACGCTGGCACAAAGCTGGTCCTGAGCCCCATGCTTAGGTTGCAGCATGTACAAGCTCTTCCGTGCTGTACCACTAGAAGCAGTACGGTAGTAATTCCATATGGGAAGCTTCGTACCTTTGGACATAGTCTTCTAGTGCAAATAACACTTTCTGTAAGTATCATTATACTCATTCTGTTCTGTTAATATTTTTTAAAAAGTGTACAAGACAACAAATCAGTATGGCATAGGCTCCAGAAAAGACACAAACTGCACTTGGACAGAGCAGTAATCTCTGGACTACAGTGCTATTGTCTTGGTTTGGTTTTTTTGTGTTTTTTTTTGTTTGTTTGGTTGCTTAGTTTTTGTTTGTTTTTGTTTGGTTTTGTTTGTTTGTTTTTCCTTTTTTGTTTTTGTTTTTCCCCCGATCCTATAAATCTTACACTTGCAAAAATACCAAAATATTGGCTTCCAAATAATAAAGGAATGAGATTCATAAAATTGGGAGTGGTTTTCACTGTTAATGAGGCTTAAATAAAGGCATGTCTAAATTTCATAATGTAGATCCAACAGCATCTTGTAGAGAACATAATTTTAGAAACTGAAGTCAAAAGAAAAACGCTAGCTATAATGAAATGCAAACACACTGTGATATTTGCTAATGCTGTCCTTCAAAAATATTATATGTCTTTTGAAGTTAAACCTATCAGAAGAAAAATAGCCTAAAGATTACACACTTCTAAGCATATATGCCAGGGTCCCTAACTATTCTTTTATTCACACACACATCATAATTCATTTAATGAAATATTTTTCAATTTCATACAGTGTTCTGATTCATATTTCAATAGTTTAAACTGATCATTATGTATCAGGCATACAGATTTCCTTCCCACAGCTAACACACCAGGTGCTCAGACTTGCCTGCTGGCTAACACTACTTCTTTAGGAAAATGCTCCAGAGTAAATATTGTACCCACATTAAATGCTTTCCATATCAAGTTTTATTTACTTTATAAGTGGAACAAGTAGCAAAACCTTCCTGCAAGCAACTGATGAAGGGATGCAACTGGGACATACTATCTGGAGAGCCGACTAGCAGTGATTGCTGAGGGTTTTAACTCAAAATAAACAACTACTTCCGCAAATAACTGTGTATTCAAAAATCAGAACAGATTTTAAGCACAGCTAAATTTCATTTAAGTTTCTTTTAAACAACTTTTTACATATAATCTGTCCCCCCTGTGAGACTCTCCTAATATTTTTTAGTAAATTGTACATTTTATATTATGCTGTTTATCTCTCACCTCACTACTTAATCTCCCATCAGCTAAATAAAGCACATAAACACATGTATACATTCATAGCAGATATAAATCTACAACTCCCACAAGTTAAGCTCAGGTGAAAAAATATTTCAAGGAGATAAACAATATGATGAATTGTAATGAAAAGGAGTAAAAATAGTATTTGTATTAGATGAACAAGGAGGAAAGCAAAAAAAATCTAATAAAAACAAAAAATACTCCCTTATGCCAACATATCAATTAAACCATTCCAAAACTAAAGAAAAGTCATGCTTTTCCTCATTTCAGGAAAAGTTAGGGAGGCAGGAGTTAATAGAAAAACCAAATAAATCTGAAAATAACATAATTAAATCCATTTATGTAATCTCCCTTTCAGGACTGATTGGCCAATGTGCATGTCTAACCATTCTTGCTATGAGTGGAATCACAATCTGAGCCCCAAAGGATGAAAAGATTCTGATGGCTTAGGCTACAGTACTTTGCATATCAGACTTCTTCCACTGTTACCATGAAGACTTGGAATAATCATAGTGATTACTTGGGAGCCTTAACTGTAGATTTGGCAGCAATTCAAAGCTATGCTGCAATTTCAAGTGGCAATAAACAGAAGATATTAACATGCATCATTTGCAGTGTCTGAAATAAAACTCTCCTCCCCTCAGTTTAGGTCCAATCAAAATTTAAACTCAAGACAAATTTGATCTTAATCAGCACTTTCTCTAAAACAAGGCAATCTTCTAACATATTACAATTGTGATATCTCTTTCAGCTTCAGCAACTGATCTTAATTTTAATTGTAGGTTTTATTTTCCTTTCTGTTTTGCTAGTATTAAAAAAGGAAAAAATGAAAAGGCAAAATATCCATGATGAATAAATTTTTAGATTCACAACATCTGACTTGCTACAGGAGATTTTTGGAGTAAATGGTGTGAGAGACACTATTTTTTAATTTTATAATCCTACATAAGGTCAGAAAGCAAGGCACCTCATATTCCTCAGCATTCTATACTGACCTCGAAGGAGAAACTTCTTTTGGGCAGAGTAAGAAATCAAAATATAGGAACTCTTCATTTAAGCACACAGCAGCCATGTGTTGAGAAGCCAAGCATGCCCAGGAAGAACCTAAACCTCCTCAGCCACCTTCAGTAAGCTGAACTCTGGACATAGAGGATTCAGCTATGGGGACATAATCCTAAAGAATGCTGGTCGCACTCCAGCAAAAACCTTAATGATATGAACTTACAAGTTCATTCCCACTGAGGTCAAATAATTTCATAGAACACTTCCATGGATGGGCCATCGACAACTTCTCTGAACAATAACTTTTCCAGCACCTCACCATCTTCACAGTAAAGAATTTCTTCCTAATACTTAAACTAAATCTACCCTCCTTCAGCTTAAAGCCATTAAGAACATGCAGTGCTAATGTCCAGATGAAGATTCTTAGCTAAAGTGGAGACAAGGCTGCTGGGCACAAAGTATCACCAAACTCCTGGTGACACCATCACATAAACCTGCTTTCCTACATGTGTGTTGAAAGAAAATATTGTTTGTGCCAGTATGGCCAATCTCATAGAGATTCACAGCAATGGAGTCACACCCTCAACATTTTTCAGATTAAATAACTCAT